CCTCATCCATCCCTAGCTTGTATATCAGTGGAGCACTGCATTAAATTCTGTCCCTGCAGTATTTAGGATCCCCAGTGTTCACTGCTGCGACTACTGTACGCTTTACATAATAGTATCAAAACAATAATTCCTATGATAATTGTAACTGTCTCTGCTATCCAGACTTGTTGAGCTCTTGGAGAATAGAAAGGCTCCTGTCTGTTCCAGATGTTTTCACACAACGGAACCGAGAAGAAAAGGTTCTTTGCATGCATATATTATGTGTCAAAAAATATAATCTCTTACCTTTTGCATCTTTAGGTGGTTATAAAAGAGAAACCCTCCAAAATTCATTTAGTATTGTTGCATGGGATGTACAGTATGTGACTCATCACACCATTAGTTCACCTCCAGCTATGAGGGAGCATGCTTCCCTCCATTTGATACACGTGAATGTGTGACACTTATTGAACGGTATTTAGGTTGCAGTTTTTGGCTAATTTTGCCAAGGAAGAGCATTCACATCACCATTCTATTATATGTTTTGCTTCAGTGATTTGTGGGATGAGTAGAAATATATTCATGGAGCATCACTCCCTTTTGATTTTATTGTACTGCTGCCACTTAATCTGGAGGAGATGCCAAAATGATTGCTGTCATTGGGCACAGTCCTCGTGCATTATTCATAATGATCTCAAATTGGCTTCTTTTTCAGGCTGCTTATTCGATTGAGGCTTAAATGAAATTTACTCAGTACATATCAACATGTTTACAGAAATGATGAGCACTGCAAAATGAGCGCAGTCTCGGCTTTTGACCTTGATGCTGGGAGCTCGCTCTCTGGGCTGGGGACCTTATGAGAGGGGCTCCACTTCCAATGCAGCAAAAGGGGAGGACAAAAAAGCCTTGTATATGTTTACTTGACATACTGCATTCCTAAAACTTTTTTGTAAAGAGAAACTTTTTATTGAGAAGTTCAATCTTCTAATTTATTCCATTTGCAGCAATCATTAAAGATGCGGGACCCTCAAGGGGCGGTGCTTGATAAAGCTTTTGAAAGAGCGTTTCAGTGAGTAACAGCAACTGGTTGGAGACGCACATGAAAGTTATTGCAGAAATTCTCTTCCAGGAGTTTTGCTTCCCTATTTCTAGGCTATGCAAGCACGGACTGAGAGTCTGCTTGTAGTCCACCTACAGCAGTGGAGGTTGCAGAAGCTTTTCACTGTCCTGTCTGTAACATAACAGAATCGGACCATCACATTGTTAATGTCTATTTGATTTACACATTTCAGTCCAGTCACCACAGCAGATTCTTTGTTTGAGTAAATATTTATATCAAATATGAAAAATCATCATACAAGTGACTGTATTCTTTTTTACATGTGGCATGTGTTGCACCCGAACCTAATTCTGTAGTGATTAAAATGAATAAACCACCAACAGGCTTTTTCAAAAGACACGGTCTGACAGGTGCAGCTACTGAAGACCAGACTTTTGACTTTGACACCGTGTTGAAGATATGATACTGTTGATGGATGGATGAATGAACAAATGAACAAATGAATGAGTGAATGATGCTTGTAATGCACAAAATACTTCTAAGATTCCTGCTCTACATTTATTTTATTGGTTAAATTTTTTCACAGAAATGACACCTAACAGCTGCCGGATTAGAAACAATGGCTGTTTTCATCAAGGCAAATAATTGTAGTTGAGGTTGTAGAAGGTTCAGTAGAGTCCTGGTTTAAAATCTTGTGTTAACAAACTCTTGACATAAAATAAAAGACCTCAAAAGAAAACAATTCTTATCATCAATTTAAACTGTCAAAATATAATCATCACACGATTGAGGTTTTGTTGTTGTGTGTTATGGAACCACATTATTATAATAATTATTTTATATGTAATTTTCAATATATGAATTTAGCTGCTGGGCACAAGAGCTTGTCTGCTCTTTACTAAAAAATGAAAATGCAGGTTTAAAGTTCCTGCATCAGATTTGTTAGTCTGGTACATTGGACAACGATTGCTTTTCAAACAGTAGTGTGAAAAAAATCTTGTTCCTACATACAAGCCTTGAAATAACATGAAAAGTAGGCACTAAGAAAATTTCCCCAATATCAGAAACATTTGAAAACATCCTTCTAGTGTCAAACTGTACTTATTTTTGATTTGAAGTTTAAAATTGTAAAGTTAAAGTAGCGTAACAAGAAGAGCATGTCAACAGAGATGAGCGTTAGGTAGAGCATCACCTGGTGGTCAGCGGAGTGATGAAGATGAACTGTCGGGGGTGCTGCCGCTCTGACAGCTGAGGGAGGAGATCCACAGAATTCCTGCGAGCAAACATTTGTTCATCAAAGTGAGTAAAAGCGGAACTTTTGTGAAGCTTTTTTGGTTTTATGCAAATGATGTGTGTTGTGCTTCTCTGTGCTTCTGATATCTTTCTTTGCTATAGACGTGGAAACTCGTCGAGGTATCTGAAGAGAGGATTTGGTTATGTCCCTCTTAAAAAAACAGTGGAGAAGGAATGTTCTTTATGTCCCCCATTGCATCACCCCCCATTTCCATACATCTAAAGAAGAAAATATTTTAGTTACGGTCCTTTGACCAAGATCTTTGGGGAATTTATGAGTAGGGAACTTGTAAAACTGTGTTGAAATGAAAATCACAGTAAATTTCCATTATTAAACCACATGCTACACATGAAGTGATGTAAAACAAACACCAGACGTACCAAGACGGAGCGCATCTCCTTGTAATCAAACATCACTGAGCCACATCAGCTCATTTCTATCAGGGACTTGTTGAAGAGTAACTTGCATCTGACAGAGAGACCTTTGGGAAGAAGAAGAACAAATCAGAAAGACAGGAATGAAAATCATGCATCATTCTGTGTCTGTTCTGCCATGATGTTATCAAGTCGATGGAGGAACCTCTGCGGGTCTCTCACTTGGTGTATTTTCTCTTTGTAGAGAGCGAGGGCCTCAGCGTTCTCCCTTATGAGGGCAAGGGGAAGAAATTGGCATAGCCTAAATTTTTCTGACTTCAGCCTTCAGTGTGCACATGTAAAATTAGGGCAGAGGATGATTTAGTAGTGGCCGATGGGCAGATCAGATTGAGGGAAGAAAGACAGGGGATAACATGCTTTTCTAAATACAGACATTAGCTTAAAAACTCTGCTGTTGTACCTTATACTTGTCTGATTCAATCTTTTAACACAGGGGCTTGGTTCAGGATGGACACTGTTGATGATTTTGCAACTGTTCAAATGTGAGAAAATATATATATTTTTTAAGTTTCCTAGTTTCCCCATGTGCCTGGATGTTGACGTGGTCCAAAATGTCGGTCAGTCCCTCCTTGTTTTAAATAAGTTGTCCAAAATACATGATAAGGAGTTATGAGTCCAAGCGAGTAGAGCAGCAAAAATGACAAGATTCAAATTTAATAATATGATTTTTTTTTAAATACAAGTGCCAAATGTTTCCAGCTTCTCTAACATGAGGATCTGCTGCATTTCTTAGATATTTATGACAGTAAACAAAGTTTCTTTGAGACTGATTGTCACATAAAAAAGGCTTTGAATAGATCACATTGAGCTGTGGGAAACTACAACATAGTGACAATAATAATTATAAATAGATGAATCTAGAAAATAACTGTCATGTTAATCTATGAATTCATCAATTTATTCAAATTATATTTTTGCTTTAGCCACATTAAAAAAGGAGAAAGGAAGCAAAGTTGGGCATGAACACTCATGATAAATTGATTGCGTACTTCATAGAGGTCATGTTGGTTAAATACTCTTTGGCTGAAAACCTTTCCTGCTGCTCATGAATTTCATCAGTCACTCGTATAATGGGGAGTCCAGTTCCAGGTCCTTTTATTTATAAAACAACTCAGTGACATTTACAGCTTAGCTAAATGTGAATGTAAATAAAAGACACGGATGGTGAAACTGTGCTTACATATATAAAATACATGCGTGCAAGTTTGTAGGGGCTGATTCCTGGCCGAGAGTAAAGAATGTATACAGCGCTGGGAGACGAGGTGAACTGTCTTCTCAAACGAGATTGTTTGAAGTATCTGAAATTTAATAAGACTGTGACATACTCAGCCAGGCATGAAGAGAATCTGCAAGTTAGGAATTAAATTTGTTCTTTAGCTTGCAGGCCCGACATCCATCACCTGAAATCTGAGGCTCCAGACCTGTTTCTCAGTTTCACTGTTATATCTACGACACTAAGGAGCAGAATTAACTGTAATGGCACCGTATTTTACCAGCTGGTGAGGAAAACTCAGTTCCAACGACTTGTCTTTTACAGACAGGTACTGATTCACAGATATAATAAATTAATGAATGCAAATAAATACACAATGAACAGATTAGAAATATACAGTACATGCATAGTATTATACAGTGGAATATTTTAATCTGTAAAATGTTCCCCAAGGTTTTAACAAAAATTTTGAAAAACATCCTATGTGAGTTTAAAAAAGGTGACATCCAAACATTTTTTGGATCCGTCCCTTAATCCGCATCTGCACCCTCATTTAATGAGTTCTTTCCAGGCGCAGATTAATGGAGTTAGCACATTTTGCTGAATCTCTCTTGCAAATAATTCAAACAAGGAAAAACAAACCGACAGGTAACTGAACATAATATCCTGAGTTAACAAGCAACATAAAAAGCTTTTATAATTCGGAATAGAAATATTTAAGTTTCAATTTGTTTTATAATGATTGATATATTTGGCCTTAATATTTATGTTTTAAAAAATGCTTCGTGCATGATATAATACAGTTCTACATGTTCAAGACATACCTTAAACAGGTTGAAGGTATTTTTAGGGTCAAATTAAAATGCTGCTTGTTCCACCTCTGTCTGCTGCATTCAGGAACCCCTGGGAGCAGCGGCTACTGTTCTCAAGACTGCAACTACACAACTACCCAACGCGACAAACTTGAGCCTTTTTGGGAAACACAAACAATTATTACTGTTGTAAACTATACCCACCGGTGTGTGGCAGCCTGTGCGTGCAGCCTGCAAACATAACACATCGTCAGGACAAAGGGATCGACTCCAAACTTCCTGGTCAGAGACATCACTGAGCGCACAGAGGAAGGAGCCATGTCACCACAGCCTTTATTAACCCAGGTGAGGTCCCGCCCCCTCCTCCTGCCACTCAACCGCATTTAAAATGAACGACTTCTGACGCGTCGCTGCACACAAGGTGAGAAAACAAGAATCTCGACTGTTTCCTGGCGCCACGTGTTTGCACCGTGTTCCGAGAAGCTTCTACTTCCTGGAGGTAACAGTGTTGTCCCGTAAACACACGTGAAGAGCGACGAAAACCGTGCGTTCAGCTGAAATCACGGATGTTTTAGTTTCATCTCGTCACCAGCAACATGGATTATTAGCTACTATCTCCTATAATATCTTTATTTAACATCATAAAGTGCATTACACCCAAATAAAGCTGCGTAGACATGATAACATGATTATGTTATGGACATATATTTATTTCATTATTTATTTTATTGGTTATTATCTTTGTATTTTGGGGGTCAAATGAATGAGGATTTCCCCCCAAAGTCTCAAACAAGTTCTTACAACTCATAGAAATATTCAACTTTTGCTGATGGGCGTTTATATAGTTTTATAGTTAAAATGAATTCAAATGGTAAACATGAAATGGAAATGAAATTTTTAAGTCCTTTGTTTCACATTAATTTGTAAATAATAAATTAAATTAAACATTTTATAAATTAAATTAATAGGTAAAAATACAGCAATAGAGCACAGATACAGAAATAAAATAATTTTACAGATGAGAAAATAGTAAAACTAAATTATTATTACAATAAAATGATTAAAGATCAGCACTATGTGAGAAAGCACACCTATAAGATGTATTATTTGTGGCATCTTTTAAGATGATTAACAATTTGAATGACTTGTGTTTCATAAAAATGAATACTATTTTTTGTTTTATTTTGAAGGTATATTTGCTCTGGGTTTCACGATGTGTTCGATTCCTGGGCTTCCAACACCTGGATCAGAAGTACATGTTCTCATCATAAGGGTAAACCTAAACCCCAGTTGTGGTCTTGTGGAATTATGGGTTAACATGGATGATGGAAGACGGCATATTTATGAGCAGATGAAAGAGGAAATTCAGATGCCTAAGAGGAAGTTTTATGGATCAGATGGAAAACCAGGGGACCTTTGTTTGGCCTGCATCAGTGACACGTGGCACAGAGCTCGGATTCTATCAATTCAAAACGACACATACAATGTTTTTCTAATAGACCAGGGAGAGCCCCATAGCGCTACAAGTGAAGCATTAGCATGGGCCCACAGTGACAGTTTTCTCCTTCCTCCTGAGTACGAGTCTTGCATACTTGCAAATGTCATCTTCCCTGAGAATAATTTGCCAGAAAGAGCCACAAAGTTTCTGAAGTCTCTTCCTGGCAATAAATTTAACGGAATGGTTCAACATGTGCTGATGCCAGAGGATGCCAGGAAAATTATCCTTGATATTCCAACTATTTCCAAGCACATCTGTGACTTGGGAGTTTCAAAGAACATCCCAGGGGAGGACATTAAAAGCCTTGTGCTGAAATGTATAAATTTACTCAAAGGAGAGGCGCCTGAGGCCTACTGTACAACGCAGGAACAGAATTTTAAAGTTAGCTGCCAACTTGAGAAGCATGACCAATACTTATACCCAGAACTGTTAATCGACACATTTGAAACTGTAACTGTTACAGAGGTAACTGATCCACATACCATTTTTTGCAAGCTCCTAATTTTTTCCAAGGCATTGAAGATCTTATCAGAACAGATCCAGCAGCACTATCAAGAGATTTCAGAGTTTGGAGAGGTGCAACCACAGACCTGCGGGGATCCGTGCGCTGCTAGAGATGTAAACGGCAGATGGCATCGCTCGTTGTTGAAGCAAAGCATTATGACCGACAGTGGTGCCGTAGAAGTTTTGCATGTGGATGAAGGAAAAACTGATCTGGTCCCAGTCAGAGACATCAGACCACTGCATGGAAAATTCCTGAGAATGCCAGTTGTCACATATTTCTGTTCTCTTAATGGACTAAATGGTAACGGCACTGAATGGACTCCAGACCAGGTTGATTACCTGAAATCACTGCTCCTTCACCAGACATTAATGGCGACGTTCGACCACCACAATATATCTCAAGATGTCTATCATGTCACACTCTATTCAGCTAATGCTTCATGCTTAAACAATTGTTTTTTAGAGAAGGTTGGACTTTTTCCTCCCTATAAGGATGAAGATGAAACAAATTTCCAGAAAGAAGCCATTCCTTCACCTTTCCTCACTTCACTTGGAGATGAACAAGATTTACAAAACAAAGTCAGTGTAAATGTTGATGATTTACAAGATCAAACTTTGCCCTGCAACCAAACCCTAGAAGATACATCGGTTGATGTATCCATGTCTAGCACTAACGATCTTCTGTGCTTAGAACATCCAGACTCCCTTATACACAACGGTGAGCATGTCTGTGAAGATAACGTCTTTACAGTGGGAAGTAGAATCAACGTAAAAGTATCTTGCATTGAAACTCCTCCACAGGTCCCATTAGACACATACAATTACTCCACACACAATATTGAGGTAGGTGGGAAAGAGAAAGTGTGTGTAACCAGTTCAGAGAGTGTTGGTCACTTTTTCTGCCAACTAGTCAGGAATTCTCATTTGTTAGACAAAGTGATGGAAGATATTAAACAACTAATTGGCCAGCCACAGTGCACAGATCAGCCTCTTGGGCTTAATAGCATTTGCTTTGCAAGGCACACTGATAATCAGTGGCACAGAGGTCAAATAGTAGAAATGTCCCCAAAACTTAAAGTGCACTTTGTGGACTATGGTGATACACTTACAGTGGACAAATCTGATATATGTCCTTTGCCCTCCGAAGGAGGTTTTGCCAGGTCTGCCCCTGTGCTGGCTGTTCCACTAGGACTGTATGATGTTCCTGCAGAAGTTCCACAGGAAGTTAACCAGTGGTTTGCAAATTCTGCCACTGACCAAAGTTTGACCATTTTAGTCGTAGCAAAAGCAGATAAAGGGAAGCTACTTGTTGAACTGTTTGATGGAGCCCAAAATGTAAATGTGCAAGTCATAGAGAGGATATTAAAGACGGCACAAGAAAATATGACTGGTTTCATTCAGCAGACTGACCAGCTGTCTTCTAAAAGCTCAGAACAGTCCCCTGTGCCAATCGAACATTACTCAAAGCCAGCCCCCATGGATGTGTCAGTATTAACAGAGCAAAACAACGACCATAGTGGCAATGAACTGTGTCCTAGAGATGAGGTAAAGATGAAGTCACAATCTTTATCTAATGTCTTTGCAACAGATACTGAACATGAGAAGACTTTGGATGTTGTTGTTGTGGAAAATGGCTTTGGGTTGGCAGAGACTTTGATAGATCAAAGTCACAGTAACTCAGAAATAACACAACTTTCCGTCTCTCCTAGCCTTGAGGGATGCGTGAATATCTGCATGTACAATGAGCCAAACATTTATCAGAAGCAGAGAGAGGAGGTGTATGCTTCCTGCATTGTCGGACCACATTTTTTTTGGTGCCAGTATGCCAACTCTGAGGATCTCAAAAAATTGTCAATTCTTGCTCAGGAAGCAGGACAAGCACAGCTGGACACAAAGTTTCCAAAGACTCTTGGTCCTGGCAGTCCCTGCCTTGCTCTTTTTTCCAGTGACAGTCAGTGGTATCGAGCTCAGGTAA